TTTCTTTCTTTCTTTCTTTCTTTCTTTCTTTCTTTCTTTCTTTCTTTCTTCTCTTTCTCTCTTTCTTTTTTTTGGTAATCCACCAAATCCAATCAGCACTACTCACATGTGCTTGTTGTGGGTCAGTCTACTGGAACATGAAAAACCTCTCAGCAGACACATACTCAGAACAGAATGGGCCTCTATCCCCCAGCAGCTATCCGGGTTCATGCACTTTTCAGTAGGAGACAAAGCCTGGGATCATCTCCCCATCTACACTGGAGTATTTGCCAGCTTTACCCCTTGAAATTCTTCTGTAGCTAATCCCAGCTGTTGTGAATTTATGACTGTGATAGCCATGTCAATTCTGGATGATACTTTTTCACAACCCTCCTGCCCATCTTCCAGCTCTTGAATTCTTTCTGCATCCTTAAAGAAGGACTTTAAAATGATCCTGTCCATTCTTAGTTTGCCATGATTTTCTTTTTATGAACTTGGATCAACATTAAAGTTTTTTTTTTTAAATTTTTCAATGTCTTTTGAGATGATTAAATGATTTTTCTTCATCAAAGGAGTGATTGGAGTAAAAGACTGATTACCCAGTGTTCATTCAACATTGTGTTTCCAACAGAGTTATTACGTGAGCATGATTATCATGTATTTACTGAAGTAGTTTTGCTAGCAATTTATTTAGAATTGCTTTAATCTATGTTCATGAAAAAATGGCTTATATGTACTTTTATTCTGTTCTGTTGTTGTTTCATTTTGATTCAGAATTATGATGGCCCTATAAGGAGCTGGATACTGGATCAGCTTTGCCTGTTCTTGGGAAAGTAGCAACTCAGCTAACATTTCTTCTTCACATCTGGTAGAATAATGCTGATGGAAACTACTAAATCTGGAGTTCTGTTTGTGGAATGATACATTGCTAAACCCAGTGGTTCTCAACCTTCCTAATGCTGTGACCCGTTAATACGGTTCCTCTTGGTGTGCTGGCCCCCCAACCATACAATTAATTTCGCTGCCACTTCGTAACTGTAACATTTGCTACCATTATGAATCATAATGTGAATTGCTGTGGATATTGCTCTATATAAATAAAACACTGATGGCCAGTGACCAGAAAGGAAGTATAGGCGGGACAAGGAGAGAGGAGAATTGGGGAAACAGGAAGAAGGAGGGAGAGACACTGCAGCCGCCACCATGACCAGCAACATGTGAAGGTGCTGGTAAGCCACCAGCTATGTGGCAAGGTATAGATTTATAGAAATGGGTTAATTTAAGATATAAGAACAGTTAGCAAGAAGCCTGCCATGGCCATACAGTTTATAAGTAATATAAGCGTCTGAGTGATTTTTTTATACATGGATTGTGGGACTGCGGGGCTTGGTGGAACCTGGAGAGAGAGAAGCCGTCCAGCAACAGTGAATATTTTTGGAAATGGGTTTAACGAAGGGGTCTTGACACACAGGTTGAGAACTGCTGGCTTAACTTCTTTGTTACAGAGGGAAAAATTAGGCCAGGGAAATGATTGAAAAAGTTATATGCCTAGTAAGTGACAGTCTTCATCTCTTTCTCTACCTCTCTGTAAATTTCAAGTTAATGTCTTCAATACTTAAAGTCTTATATAGGGGTTTACATATTTTAAGCTTTATAAATTGTGTTTCCTAAGAACTCTTTTATTTCCTCCAACATTTTACTCATCATTGGAATTATTGCACTCTCTGGTTTTATTTTGAAGTTTTTGAAATCCATTTTTTTTTTTGCTGATGTTTCTTTTTTTTAATTTCCTATTGGTTACTTGGACCTACACATCTTCTTTGCCATTACTTTGTATCACTAGACATTTATTAAATTTGCTTAGATTTTAAATACTCACTTTTGGATTTGTTGATAATTCCTTATAGAAGCATTCCAGATGAAGTAGACAGAACTCAGAGTGAGAGGCTTAATGTTTGATGAGAGGCTGTGTACTAGGAATGTAGCACAGAAGAAGTCACCAAACCAAGAAATATCACCCTCAGTGAGTATGGCAAGAATAACTCAGAAAGGGAAACATTACAGACTCATCTTTGAACGCCTCCCAAAACTTAGTCATTCTAATTAAACATTAGAATGGAGAAGTCATCACGACGATGATTAGGTTAAAAAGTTCCTTCCGTCCCAGGAGAGAACAAGCCTTGATTTAGACTTCCAGTGATATTATCAAAAATTTCATAATCATAGCTTTGGGCACTCTCATTTACTTTTTGATTTAAAAACTATTTATTTAATTTATTGAAAATGATTAATTAATTAATCATTTGATTAAAACCACAATCAGTTTTTGGGGGTAAAATCATTTTTTTTTTCATGTACTTACGCTCATACTCTCAATTTTGTTTTTTGAGTTAAGCAAATAATACCACAAAGAAGACCTTAGAGAGAGGAATGATGCTCAGTGATGGAGATACCTATATAATGTGTTCTAGATCCCAAGTTAAATGCTCTCATGCCAGCCAATTAGATGAGCTACTGTTTTCCTTTCACACATTCTCCATCAGACATCTTTTCAGAGCCTACAGAGGTTTATATCATACAGGTGTGTCTGTGTAATGAGTTTGATAATAATTTCTAATTAGTACAACGTCAACTTTACAAGTCTCAAAGGCACATTTTGGGTATTTGGCAATTACTGCTTATAAATTACTTGAAGGACCTTTAGGTAAAGAAATGTTATATAAATAATAACATGAGAGTGAAAATAATAATACACTGCTTTGTGGGCTGCCTCAATTGGATCTTGAAGTTGGAGGAAATATATACAATATTTGGATGTATAAAGAAGAAAATATTGCCATCTTTCCCTTTAAGTCAAAATAGAAATGATCTGTGAAATAAAGAACATGGGCATGACCCATGGCTGTGGTTTTGAATACGTTTATAATAGAATACATTATCTATTCTTTAGATTATGTCAGATAAAATTTGCTATTTTTTATAGTTCTTAGATAAAGGACTAAAGATTATAATAATTTTCTCAGGTTAATATGTGGAAGTTAATTGGTGGTTGTTTTCAACACAATTACTCAATATTGTTTAAGGGCAAATTATGGTTTTAGAACTAATTTAAAATTTGCCAGTAGTACAAAGAATATATTTGAAATATTTCTAGAAAGAGTTCTTTAAAATGCAAATAAACAAAAAAGCTCCAAAGAACCTTCCTAAAAGCAATGACTTCCCCCTCTTCTGACTGTCTGACTATCTTTCATTTTCTTTCAATTTTAAAGGACAGGGAGCACAGGTCTCTGATAACACCTGTCCCCTTTGACTCTGCAGGAGAAGACAGAAGAATGGGATGCAAATTTTGTTTTGTGAATGGCCCTAAATCCCACCAATTTCCCTGTAGATCATTTGAATCCTAAAATTTTGAAGATGCATCCAGCTTCAAAGGACAATGAAAAACTGAGTTCACTCTGTAATTATGAAATTAAGCCAGGTCCTAGGGCTTTTATTATATTAGATAAGATCTTCAGCATTTAGAATATATGTAAAAATTATATTAGATGTCCACTTTTATTCCGACTTTTTCTAAGTTATTTACTTCCTGTGCTATTAAACCCATTCTGAGAAATTCTTTGATTTTCTTTTGTTATTTATTTGATATGTATGCTTCTGCAAGAATTCAAACACTAGAAAAAGATTTACATTATTTTTAGTTGTGTGTATGTCTGTGTGTCCATGTGAATATATGTGCATCTGAATGTAGATATCCATAGAGGTCAGAAGAGTACACTCTATCTTTGGAGATGGAGTTGCAGGTGGTTGTGAGCCACCCCACTTAGGTGCTAATAACAGACTCAATTTCCTCTGCAAGGACAGTACATGTTTTTAACTGCCCAGCCTTTTGGCTAGCCCCAGAAATACACGCCCCTGAGAGTACCATCTGGCTATCTCCCTTTTATATATTCCCCAGCCCACTACACCCACTTCTCATATAGTAAATAATTAAATGTCATAACAAACTGATTAAATAATCAAAAACTCTATCATCCCCTTCCTACAAAATGATATTATTGTAGGGAAAACGTTTTTAATTGTCTTTTTAAAATTTATTCTTCTCTCACATATTACAACCTGACCACAGTTTGCCCTCCCTCCTCTCCTCCCAGTCTCTCCCCCGCTCTACCTTTCCCCAGATCCATTCCTCTCCCCTGTTTCCCATCAGAAAAGGGAAGGCATCCCAGTGATATCAACCAAACATGGCATATCAAGTTGCAATAAATAAGACTAGGCACATCCCCTCATATTAAGGTTGGGCTAGGCAACTTAGTAGGAGAAGAAAGGCCATAGACTGCCACTGCTTCCACTGTTAGGTGTCCCACAAGAACAGCAAGCTACACAATCATAATATACATGCAGAGGATTTAGGTCAGACCCATAGAGGCTCCATGATTGTCGATTCATTCTCTGTTAACCCCTGTGAGCCCAGATTAGTTGATTACTTGGTTTTTATTGTTGATGTCCTTGACCCCTTGGGCTCCTACAATCCTTTCTCATCCTCTTCTGGAGGTTCCTGGAGTTCTTCCAAATGTTGGGATATGGGTCTCTGCATCTACTCCCATTAGTGGCTGGATGCAGCCTCTCTGATGATAATTATGCTAGGCTCCCATCTACAAGTATAGTAGAGAATCATTAGGAATCATTTCATTGACTTTCTTATTTTTTTAATTTTAATTAATTTTTTAAATTTACTGTTTGTGTTTGGTTCTATACTATGTCTCTTGGCCATCCAGCCTCTGGTTCCTGGCTCTCCAGGCAGAGTCAGGCCTGGGCTCACTCTTGTGACATGGGTCTCAAGTTAGACAAATCACTGGTTGGCAACTCTCACAAGTACTGTGCAGCCTTTACCACAGCACATCTTGTAGGCAGGACAAATTGTAGGTCAGAATTTTTGTAGCTGGGTTGGTTTCCCAATGCCTCTACTGGAAGCCTTGCCTGGTTACAGAAGATGGCTTGTTCAAGCTCTGTGTCCCCCATTTCTAGGAGTTTTAACTATGGCCATCTTCTAAAGATTCCTGGGAGTTTCCATTGAACTAGGTTTCTATCTCACTTCCAAATGTACCCCCTCAATTCCAGTAGTCTCTCCATTACTCTCTCTTTCCATCCCCTACCCATTTCTTTCTGTTCCCATCTCCACCCACACCCAGTCCACCCTCAAAATCTATTCTATTTTGATGTCTATAACAGTATAAGAAGCTTACAGAACACCAAATAGATTGGTCCATAAATGAAAGCACCTCTACCACATAATAATCAAAACAGTAAGCATACAGAACAAAGAAAGAATATTAAAAGCTGCAAGGGAAAAAAGACCAAGTAACCAATAAAGGCAGACCCATTAGAATTACACCCCACTTCATAACAGAGACTCTAAAAGCCAGAAGGGCCTGGACAGATGTCTTGCAGACTCCAGGAGATCATTGATGCCAGCCCAGACTACTATGCCCAGCAAAAACTTTCAATTATCACAAAATGGAGAAAACAAGATATTTCAGGACAAAGTCAATTTTTGAATCATATATATGCACAAATCCAGCCCTATAGAGGATACTAGAAGGAAAGCTCTAACTACGCCCTTAAAAACACAGAAAATAAATAATCTTACACCAGCAAAACCAAAAGAAGGGAAACATCTCCATCCAAACACATGCTACCACTACCACTACCACCAACATAATAACAGGAATTAATAATCAATGTTCATTGATACCTCTCAATAACATTGGACTCAATTCCCCAATAATTAGACACAAACTAACTGGATGGATACAAAAACAGGATTCATCCTTCTGCTGCATACAAGAAACACACCTGAACATCAAAGATAGATATTACCTCAGAGTAAAGGGTTGGAAAAAGATTTTCTAAGCAAATGGACCCAAGAAGGAAGGTGGTATAGCTATTCTAATATCTAACAAAACAGATTTCCAACTAAAATTAATCAAAAGAGATGTGGAAGGATACTTCATACTCATCAAAGAAAAAAAAAATCCACCAAGATTTTGACTCAATTCTTAACATCTATGCCCCAAACACAAGGGCACCCACATTTGTAAAATAAAAATTACTAAAGCTCAAATCACACACCAAACCTCAACATTAATAGTGGGAGACTTCAATGTCTCATTCTCACCAATGGACAGATCATCCAGATAAAAACTAAATAGAGAAATACTGGAGCTAATAGACACTATGAACCAAATGGACCTAAAAGATCCCACTAAAATCCGGACCATGATGAGGCTGTCCACACTTTCTATATCTATTCAATATAGTACTTGTATTTCTAGCTAGAGCAATAAGAAAATTAAAAGAGATCAAGTGGACAGAAGTTAGAAAGGAAGAATTCAAAATATTACTATTTGCAGATGGCATGATTGTATGCAGTATGTATAAGGGACCCAAAAATTTCTACTATGGAACTCCTACAGCTGATAAACATCTTCAGTGAAGTAGCTGGACACAAGAGTAACAAGAACAACAACAACAACAACAAAAACAGTGACTCTCCTATATACAAAGGATAAGGGGAAATCAGGGAAACAACACCCTTTACAATAGCCATAAATAATGTAAAATGCCTTGAGGCAACACTAACCAAGTAAGCAATTTGAAGTCCTTTGAAGAAAGAAATTGGTGCAGGTATAGGTTTTGCTTGATTGAAGTCAGTGTTATCTCATACCATCTATGAAGTGCCAACTCTATTCCTTGGATCTGTGTTCAAGGATGTCATGTTAGCAGCTTTAAGTGGTCTGGTGGGGGTGAGATAGGAAGAAATAAGCTACATGCCAGAGCTTTCTCCTTGGATGTCCTCTGTTGTTTGTTGTTCAATGTATACCAATGCACCAGGTATTGAAGTGGGAAAAGTTTATCAGTTGGCTTGATAGTAGATGAGTACAGAAACTGTTTATATAATCAGTTATCTTCTGTATGATATCAGAGTAGAAAATGAAAGCATGTTGTCAAAATTGAAAACCTTGA